AACTTCACGTCCCGATGATGTTTCACGGCCATTCTAGTTGACTGCGGTGGCTCTACAGAGAGAAATAAATCTGAAGTAGCCAAGAAAGGCGCAAGTTCCTCGACGCAAGTTTTTTTCTTTGAAAACAACGCTTCGTGATTCATTGTATATATCTTGTGGGACAATAAGACTGTTATCACAATTTTCCCATTTTTTCTGTTGCAATAGATGTACATTTTGTAATTACCAACAGTTTGTAGTTGCTAACAACATATTTTTTTGCACATTGTTGTAGCGGTGCATAAGTTTAGCAACAAGTAAACTTACTTTCCAGTCTTCAATACTTCCCAAGGTAGACGCGATAACATGTCGTCCCCGTTGAATGTAGTTAGTATCCATGAAAAATGGCCAAAGAATATCATTAAACTCTTTCTTCTTCTCTGGATCTTTCAGATATTCCCTGAATGAATATTCTTTCGAGATTCGTACTAAATTGAATGTCGGTGCGATTATATTTTCAGAGCAGATAGTATGAAAATAGAATGAAAGAGCCAGATTAGTATTTTTCTTCGAAAAACCAATTGAATATTCATCTATATGTAAAGGATTTGAGCATATAGAATCAGCAATGATATGTATTCCTATTTTTTTACAGTTTTCTTTGTTCTGACATAGTTCAATACTGAGAGCGTCATCGCGACGTTTGGTTCCTTCAGTGTCCCACGTAAAAGCTTTGTCTTGGAACTTATATTTGAAATGTTGGATTTGATTTGAAACTCTATTGATTTGTCTTACGCCGGTTTGATCACCGATAGATGTTGGCATTACTATAACTATCCTGCCAATATTATATTTTTGATTCTTTTCATTGTAAATTTTTATTACTTTCTCTGATTTTTGAAATATCACAAGATCTCCATCTTTAGCATCCAGTCGATGCCAGGGAGAAGTTGGAAAGAAATAGGTTTCTGATCTGTCATCGTCAATTCTGTGAATTATAATCCTATTAGTTTCACTAATTTTTTCTACCTTTGCAGTAAAAATTTCCGAGTTGAAGTGTTTTGTTGGATGATCATATTTACATTTATATCCAAATTGGCACGTTCCAAAAGTGTCGTACGATTTGCATATCTTACTCATCTTCACATTGTTTATCAGTAATCTTGAAGAAAACAGGACCTAGCCTAGCCAGCAAATGTCTTATCTTAAATATCTGTAATATGTATTAGTAAAAATTGAATTATCAGTTTTCAACCTACTTTGATTCCCAATATATTAAAATAAAACATATACATCATTACAAGTATATTTGGCAGAATAAATAGGTTTTGCTCAAAACGGAAATTTTTTTACAAATAAATATTACCTATTATTGCTCCATTTTAAAAACAACAAAATTATTTTGACGATTAATAACCTATTTAGTAAAGTTAGAATATGAAATTCTCTCAATAATGTTGTAGTGGAGTTCTATTTGCCGTTGCAATAAGATTCTTCGAAAACAAGCTTTATTCATAAATCTACACAAAAGAGTAAATGTTGATACAAACAATGTTGCATATAGAAAACTTGAATACCAACGATTAAACTAATTTGTGAAGACATGAATGCACTATAGATGAGTAACAAAGTTACGACAGATTCCAATTTATATTAGGAAACAATAATACCCAATACTAACTAGAAACTATGCTTAATCAATAGAATGATTCACTGTGAACAGGAAATATGTAAATGTTGAAAATATAAACATACTGTCAGGGATTTTTGAGATAATAAATAAAAACGGATAAAGTGATAGATGTGCGAGGATAAATCATTTGACTGCCTATACACAATGTATTACAGCACAGAGATGGTATTTGGTTGTGTATTTGGTACATATTTCACTTCCGTACGCGTTAATCGCTTGGACGTCGGTGGTGACATCATATACGACTAAATTAAATATTTGCATGTACGAGCACTTCCACAGTTTGCACCAATGGCTAGACACCAAGTATTATTCGGAACAGAATAAGTTTCGGGAATTTTTGCATCAATTCTTTTAATTCCAACTGTTAAGTTATTATCTTTTAAAAGTTCTACCACAGTAGCAACAAATAATTCTAAATCGGAATGTTTTTTTGCTGGATGACTGTGTGTACACCTATGCCCAAATTTGCATGATCCGAAGGTAATATAATTTTGACATTTCCCCATCTTTGCATCACTAGAGTCGATCAGAGCAGCTAAAAACGCTTGGCGTGTATAAATTACAGACAATTATTATACTTTTACTAATTTTCGTTTTTTTATTTCACATAAAACATAAAATATTCTAACGAATACCAGACAAATTGACTCTCCCATCTGACAGACTTATTATCCATGCAGAAACCAAGTTTGCTTTTCAGCAGGATTAGCAATGAATGTCATTCAACTTTAAATAGATTTTCTAGCAGAAAAAGATTAGAGTAAATACAATATATCTACATTTATTTTGCAGCATTCATGGTTATAGACACCATTTGTGATTTTTTTTTCGGACGTTTTTTTTTCTAGTCTGCATGGATATGGCGTAAACTCTGTATGCTTGAAAACAAATATCATGATTTGGAGCATTTATAAAAACATATGAGTTATGAGTATAAACAAACAGAACTGGCCAGCTTTGTTGGCAAACAAAGAAATCAGTTTTCGGTTCATCATAACGTCATTACAATTATAAAAATAAACTCAAAGCCGATATATATCTCAAATTTGGGAACTTCATTACTATCTTAACTCTATTAGTTAACAATGAGTTTTTTTAAATAAGTTTTTCTATACAAGCAACATAATGTATCAGATGTCCCGATTGCCAGAGCCTGAAATTATAGTTGTGTTAGTTTCACGGGTTTGCGGTTTTAAATTCGAACATTTGCCGCATTCCAAATGGGGAAACTTATTGGCAGAGTTATACTCACGTACATATGACTACCTGTCTAACTAAAGCTTTGTTTAGAATTTAACGAGTTCGTACACTCCTCGCATGGATATTAGTTTTCACTGGGCCTATTTTATGGTTATGAAAATTATGTAACCGAATGCTATTGTCCATCACAATTCTACCCTTTTCTCAAACCCATTATGCGTCTTTCTTTGTTTCAATCAGAAACTAATTTTATATTCGATGTGTTGCGTTTAATAAAGTTGTAGTTCTGACGAAAATCAACATTTATCCTGTTAATTATTTATCATGATATGTCGAAATACACTTAATTAAATCATGAACTAATGATGGGCCTTGCTTGCATGGTCGAGATCAAATAAAGTCGATAACTCTAAACAAAGAAATTGTACATAAACCATGTATTCATTGTTCTCATGCTGTTTTTGAAAGTAAATATGTAAGAATTTTTGAAGCACAATAAATATGTATTTATTTGACTATTGCGACAATAACAGGTGACTGACATTCTGAACTTTATTAATTGCATATTCAATTATACTTATTGAAATGATAAATATTGACAATTTCAGTTATTGCAAAATACATATTGACGTCAGGACAATATTTAATTTGAAAAGTTTTCTGAGAGTCGTATTCGAAACCAAAGATTCAGCTTATACAGCGATAATTTTTTTTCGCCTAACGGACCCTGAATATACTGAAGAAGACAAGTCTGTTAGTAAGCGTGTTGGACTAATTTCGTTGGTCTCGCATATAAGACAGCTCGGGTACAAATGCCACGTCCAAAATTTCAAGTCCATTCTGAATCGGAAAGATTCCGGGTATTTCATCAATATAGCAGCACCTTGTGTAGCAACGATGGTATAACCCTTATTTTTAGAATTAAATGTGTATGTAAAATACTATCTTGGTATAATGATTTTTCGTATTGTTTATTCTGATGTGATAATGCAGTCAATATCATTTCCATTGATCCTTGAATTGAATTTTGATTGTTTATACCCTTCATAACTCTAATAAGGATAGATGCTGAAATATTCTCATCGCGTGCCACACCACGTTCGAATATTTGTTGCTATAGTAAACAAACTTCCATAAAACAAAAAAGAAACGAATGATACATATCAATGTCCCGAGACCTACTGATTTGAATAGTTTATTTGTGGACTAAAATTATGAGCAAATGAGGGTACTCCCGTAGTATGTATACCAGGTTAGGGTTAGGCCATAATTTTATTCTAATTTTCCTTATTTTATTTCTATTACAAGTTCGGGGACTGCCTGTGTTAGACAAGTGCATATCCCCCTGCCCATAAGTTTCAGTCCCTTTACACAACTTGATGTATAATATATCTCCATATTGGTACATATACTTTTATAGCACCCAACTGAGAAATAGCGATGCAGAACATCTGCTACATGGTTTACCCAGAAATATAAAAGAACGGAAAATCGATCCTTTTCAACAACCACGAAACAACACAAATATTAAAAATATAACTGTCGCCAACAAAAATTATTAGTGATAAAATGAGATAAAAATTGTCCCTGGGGAATTATTATTTATTGCCAATGTAGGTTTAGACTTCAACACTCGGGAAACAGAATGCCAAATGCCAAAAAGTAAAAACTGGCAACTACAATTCATAGCCATTCGAAATTAATCTCCAACATCTTGTAAATTTCTCTGTTATAAGATCGATAAAGGTTTTTCAATTCAATAATATGATTTTTCGTTGCATTTACTTTTCCATTTTTATGTCTGGTTCTGCCTTTCTTTGTTTCTGACAAACATAACAAATTTTTTTTCCAATCCGGGGAATTGTTTAATTCCGCTTTAAAGTCGTAACCATTCCACCATGGTCGAATACAATATAGGCCGTTCCGTGAATTGCGAACAGAATCTCCTGCTTGTAGAAGCGTTAGTATGGAAAACTTCACGAGTCACAGAATTTTTGCGCAACAAAAAATGAGCCACTACAGAAAAAGGTTGAGAACCTCTGGCTAAGAGCGTAAACCAGAAACCCTCAAATTCCTCATAAAATGCTACGTTGTATATTTTTTTCACGAAGGCAATTCCTTTGTTTTGCAGAAAATAAAACCTCCCAATTTATCAACGGTGACTCAATACAATTCATTTGATGATTATTTGGATGTATACATCGACAGAGTGAAGACATCTTTAGACAAAAATAACAACATAACTTTAAAAAACGTCATGTCAAGTTACAAAAATGATTATGCAACAACTCTTTTAACAACGGGACTATATTCAACTCATCTTCCTCGATGGATAAATACATTCAATTCATCTAATTTGCTCATTTTGAACGGAGAAAAAATGATTGAGGATCCAGGACATCAGGTTTGTGCATGATGTATGCTGCTAATTTTTGTTTCACGAGCCCTTGGTGTTGCGTAAAGATGAGGTAAACACCACAGTTTGATTTAGTTCATTTGATTCCAGTATAATTCGTTTACCAGACTCTGGGTCAGGACTTGTATTGGTGATCATTCAACCATGCGATGACGTCATATTCTTAAATGGTGTGATATTAAACTAAGAAAGAAGTGCGTACGCAGAATCTGGTCTAGGGGCATATACAAAATTTATAGTTTCTGGCCGTATGTTTTTAGGTTTCTGTAGCTTTTAGATATTTCACAAAAAGGAACAATCTAATGTGACACAAAATTAGATTCGTTGAAATTCATTATGACGTAATAAGGAATTTTGTGTAAAATGTGTTGTGCTGTCATAAATAAATTTCTAAAGTATGCACGTACTTTAATACGAGGTCCAAACGTAGTTACTAATTCTTGTATAATTTCAAATTTGAAAATTGGTAATAATAAAGCAAGTTTTTTTTATTAAGACAATAACAATCTTCAAACCATCTAATTAACTACATTCTATGATCCGGATTGTAGGAGGTTTATTTATATATTAAGAAAACATTTAAGTACCAAAATTAATAATACTCAATTGATTTGTAAAGGTAGAACGAATGCAAGATTTCCTCGGGATACCGACGCTTCTACAAGCAGGAGATTTTGTTCGCAATTCACGGAACGGCCTATATTGTATTCGACCATGGTGGAATGGTTACGACTTTAAAGCGGAATTCAACAATTCTCCGGATTGGGAGAAAAATTTGTTATGTTTGTCAGAAACAAAGAAAGGCAGAACCAGACATAAAAACGGAAAAGTAAATGCAACGAAAAAGCATATTATTGAATTGAAAAACCTTTATCGATCTTATAACAGAGAACTTTACAAGATGTTGGAGATTAATTTCGAATGGCTATGAATTGTAGTTGCCAGTTTTTACTTTAACTAGCACTGTTAAACACTGCCACTGTAACTAGCTTTCGTAGAAATATAAGGTACTTCTCGTCATTCTAAGGTTAAATCAAGCATTGCAAATTTCTTTCTATAAAGGAAGCTTTGGCATTCTGTTACCCTATTGTTTAAGTCTAAACCTACTTTGACAATAAATTAATAATTCCATCTACACAGTTTTTATGTCATTTTATCAATAATGATTTTTGTTGGCGAGATTTACATTTTCTATTTATGGTGTTTCGTATATTTGTTAAAAATGGTGGAAGTTCCGTTTTTTTTTTATAATTCTGAGCAGCCATGTAACAGATGTGATGCATCGCTATTTCTGATTTAAAGCTCAACATTTTAGTCTACCAGAAAGCAGTAGGTTCAGGACAATAAATTTGTTTCAGTAAATACGTCAAGATAAACAATATGAAAAACTATTAGACCAAGGTTAGTATTTTACATACAAATATAATTATAAAAGTAGGAATTACTCTGCCGTTGTTACACAAGGAGCTGCTTCATTATTGTAATACCCGGAATCTTTTCGATTCAGAATAAACTTGATATTTTGAACGTGACATTTGTACCCTGTGAGGCCAACAAAACTAGTCCAACACTTTTACTAACAAAATTGCCTTAATCAGTGGTTTCAGTGTTCGATAGGCGAAAAAAAATTATCGTCGTACAACCTGAAACTTTGGTTTCGAATACAACTCTTAGAAAACCTTTCAAATTAATTATCGCTCCTGACGTCAATTTGTATTTTGCAATCACTGAAATTATCAATATTTAATATTTCAAAATGTAATTGTATATATAATTGAATATACAATTACTGAAGTTTAGAATGCCAGCCACCTGTTGTTGTCGCAATATTAAAATACATATTTACTGTTCCTTCAAATCACTCTTACATATTTACCTTCAAAAACAGCGTCAGAACAACAAACACATGATTAATATACAATTTCTTTGTTGCAAGTTATCGACTTTATCTAATCTCGACCAAGCAAGGCTCGTCATTAGTTCGTGATTTAATCAACTGTATTTCGATATATCATGATAAATAATTAACAGGGGAATGAGGGGATAATCTGATTTTTGGCAGAACTAAGACTTTATTAAACGCAACACATAGAATATAAAGTTAGTTACTGTTTGAGACAAAGAAAGATGCATAATGGGTTTGCGAATCACGAAAAGCATAGAATTGTGATGTATAGACATTAGTATTCGGTACGCGTAATTTGCATCCCACTAAAATTGGCTCAGCGAGAACTAGAATCTGTGAAACTACTTGTAGAGTGTTTAAATCCAGTTTTCCTAACAATAACAATTGTATTGTAAATCAAGCTCTAGTTAGCAGGTAGTCATAGACGCGTGAATATAACTTCTCCTATAAGTATCCTCGGTTGCATGTGGGAAATGTTCGAATTTAAAACCGCAAACCTGGGAAGCTAACACAACTATAATTTCAGACTCAGGGAAACAGGACACTCGATACATTATGTTGCTTTTATTTAGAATAACTTATTGAAATTTGAATTAAAAACCCATAGCTAACTTTAAATAGTAATGAAGTTGGGCAATAGTATATACTAAGTTCAAATTATATTCCGGGTTTGCGTTTTTTCATAAATGTAATGACGTTATAAATTAGTTCAAATTTGCATCAAACAACCGAGAGCTGATGTCTTTGTTTGCCAATGAAGCTGGCCAGTGCTTTTTGTTTCTCATAACTCGTATTTTTTGAAATTCTTCGATCATAATATTTGTGCTCAAGCATACCGAGTTCACACAATGTCCATTCGACTGTAATAGTCCGAAATGATGCCTACAAGCAAGAATGCTGCGTAATAAAATAATATATTGTATTTACTTTGATCTTTTGTTGCTGGAAAAGCCATTGAAAGTTTAAAACCCTTAAAATAAAAATTAATTATTTTCAAATTGCAAATAATAATTTTGTAAATAAAGAAACAATTTCACAAGTTTTTAAAAATGTGTTTTATACCAGTCATTATCAGATCAAAATTTCCTTCCTAAATTAGTATCCACATAGAAACGAATTCAATTCTTTCGATTACAAAACGAATATAAGTGCCATTCGATACGACAGAAATTATTACCCGAATTTACATATAACGATAATATGTATCAGATGTTAGAATTTATTATTATATATATACTCCTTTATATCTTTTCAATAGCAGTTTTTAGTATCAGGAATTTTGATTGTATTTTGTATATTGTCCAAAGACTACAATAAAACCAATACAGCTAATGACTATTCAATACGGCAGGTGGCGAACTTCGTACAGAGAAATTTGGGTTCAGGATCAATTCTACAAGTTTATCTTGAGTTATCTTAAACAAGTCAGAGCAGAAAATCAACAACTAATATTGTAGACACAGACTATTTTCATAATAGAACTCAAATAATAATTTTGAAACGATTAACTGATCGACCGTTTTACCCGTAGGCTACTTGCAATTGAAGAGGAGTTAGTGGTCTTAAACAATGGCTATATGATTAAAACTCATCAGTGCTCAAATTTTACTAGGAAGCTTTGACTCAAATACAGAAAATATTGTTTTTGTTTTGTTATTGTCATTTGGAATTGCTCGTACCAATTAGATTCAACAAAAACCTCATTTATCAAATAAAAATTTTACAAACAACTTCACGGCAATTTACGAACGATTGTTATTTTATGCGAGCCACTATATATAAATTTGTAGATATAGATCGAAAATTTATGTCTAGTAGATGTTTTTTTCTCTCTTGTTCTTTCTTCCTTATTCTTCTTTCTGTTCTTATGAAAAAATCGTTTTTCTATTTAGAGACTGGACCAATCGCTTTGAAGTTTTCAGTGGTTGAAGATTTTCGCTAGAACGTTATTACCTATTTATTTCAAATATTTTCGTAAGCTCTATGGGATTGTTTTTTTTAGTGCTTTGATGTCATTAAAATTTGCGCACCTTGTGGCGATTCCGCGAACGCATATCAGCTCAGCAAACGTCGGCGAATCCCGTGCTTAGCGAAAATGCAAAGTTTTTTTATGGGAAAGGGTAGACTGCGGTACCCGATCTGGTAATACAGAAGTGACTCAAATCAGTTGGTTATTAAATCCCGTTGAAACTGGTCAATGAAGAATGGACCATCGTCTCGGGACGTGGAAGAGCCAGGACAGTCCCTGTACCGTACCGATACCCAGAGTAGAATCGAGTTGTACGTTCAGTTGTCCTTGTAGTCGAGCTGTTTGTGTCCCGATACGGCTATCATCAATTCCTCGAAAATTATACGCGGTAACTTACCAGTAGTCGTATTGGGATGCGGGCAACTCGACTACGTGGACAACCCATGGTACCGATAACGGTACCGGGACTGTCATAGCTTTTCCAGGTCTTGTAAAAATCAGTCATTCTTCGTGATTCAGTTTCAACGTGAATTGAAATGCCAACTGATCCGAGTCACTTCTGTATTACCAAATCAGGTACCACAGTCTATCGTTCCCCATGAAAAAACTCGTCGATTTCTAAGCATATGAAAAATGATTATTGAATTAATTTATTCATATATATTTAAATTTCCGGAACACGGCTGAAATTTAACAAATAGAATTAAAAATGTGAAACTGAGGTATTGTTTGCAACCATGCCTGAAAATCTGTCTGAGTGACAAAAGGGCGGATGCGAAAGGACCCATTGTTGCGTCAGTTTTTGCATCTTGCTGATTGGCCAAAGTTACGGAGTAAATAAAGGAGTCGATGCTCGGGTAAACATCCAGTGGTGGGATTGAGCCGGTTCGCACCGGTTCTATATAGATATAATTTTATGAGATTAGCGAACCGGTTAGCTTTACTGGTTACTTTCAATGTTCTTTTTGTAACAGAACCGGCTGAAAAATATGACTTTTCTTATGGAACCGGCTGAAAAAAAAATTTTGAATCCCACCACTGGAAACATCCATGGCGTCCCAATTATTTTTAGTGGTTTAGCAAAAAATGCATTACATTATAACTGTAAAATAATAAAATAAAGATGATTTCAAAAGCAAGAAGCAGCTGCGTTACAAATTTCATACTCGAAAGGTCCGGATTCGAACCGCGGTCCGCCAGTTGAGTAGCCCTGCCATAGAGCTCACCGAAATATTTGAAATAAATAGAAGTAATAATCTTGTAGAGAAATATACAATCGTTAACAATAAAATTCCAAAATGTTTGTCCTAGTATTTGAAGAGAGAAATCGATTTTTTCAATTGTAAAATAACTAACAAAAACAACAACAACATAATATAGCAAAATGATCCATAGATCCACTCCATGTCCAATAAAGAATAAGATAGCTATGCTCAAATATGTGGACACGAAGGAAAAACTAAACATTTTATCATCAATTTTGCAAAAAATATATGAGATTACTTATTGGGAGGTGGACAACACGATCAACTCAACTATACAGGGTGACGGTAACGGTACAGGGTACAAGCACTGGCAGGCCCTGTGATAATGATTCATTCTTCATGATTCAGTTTCGTGAGTCGAGTCACTTCTTGATTATCAGATCAGCACGAGATCCTTTATCTGCGTTCGCGGAACCGCCACAAGGTGCGCAAATTTTGATGACGTCATAGCACAAAACGAAGCCCATGAAGCTCACAGAAATATTTATATTAAAAAAAAAAATTATTAAAAAAAATCTTTTAACCACCGAAAATTTCAAATCAATTGGTCCAGTAATTAAAAGAGAAAAGCGATTTTTTTTCAAAACGTTTAAATTCTATAATAAAGAACAAGAACAACATAATAACAAAAGCAATCCATAGGTTCACTGCTTGTCCAATAACGAAAAGTGAAGTATGGCAGACTGGCTAATAAATAAACTCTCTGAAACACAATATATATATATGTAATTTCATCAAATACTTTACATTATAATGATAATAGAGAGCTAATCGAGACTTTTTATTCACTTTTTATTTTATAATTAAATTGGCTCGGATAAACATTAAAAAATTGCTCCGTCCTAGGAAACTCGTTCCTACCGGTCAATTCCAACCGTTCATCCATTTAAAGAATATTTGATTTAGTTAATTTATTGTATTTATGTCGAGAGCATTTTTGAAAGCTTATATATAGTTTTTATACGTATAAATCATTATTTATGATCGTTCTTACCATTTTTTTTAAATTCAATTCAATTGTGACTTTTCGAAAAATGTTGTAAAGGGGAAATCTTGATTTTATTAATACAAACCTGCAGTCAATACCAGAACTATTTAATAAAATGCGTAGCATAATTGTGTAGCAGGCTATATAGTCACTTCCAGATCTTGGAATTAAAGCAATTAAGTAAGGATTGCCAAGGATTGTGTTGACGTTCCACCTGCATCGTTAACTACTACGTTTTCAATGTATGAAAAATCTCAGTTTTATTCTGATATTTTAAACAAATATCCTTTATGAATCTCTCATCAGAGTTTATTAATGTTAATTAATAGTAGTAGACATAGGGATCGTTTTGTTATTATGTTGTTGTAATTGTTGTTAGTATTTGTCTTGTTGTTACCAAATGACCAATTGCTTTGCAATTTTCAGTGGTTGAAGATTGTATTATTTGCTAGAACGCTATTACTTTTATTTTTTTTTGTATTGAAACTTATTGTGGGCTCCATGTGATTCATTTTTCACTGCAAAATTTTGTTTGATGACCTCGTTGAAGTTAATGAATATTATATGTAGCGGTTTTTCGACCTCTTTCGTGCTATGCGGAAGTCGAAACTTTTTTGAAGGTACCGGTACTGTAA